AAGAACATCAGCAGGCACATTTCTATAAGGCACGAGTTCCATCAGCATTCCAGTTTGAGGAGGATAATGTTGGACACGCACAAGCATACGCACAAAGTGGAGAGAAGGAAAGTCTTCCTCCGGTAGGACGACATTCGTTCGAAATTTGAAAACGTTTTAGTAAACAATTTTTGAGTGTTTTTGTTTTGAACTGACAATACAGTTTTTACATCCTATAGAAATTCATAGAACAGCAAAATAGGATTGCATGGTTACCATAAAATTGCGTAAGTATTTTTATATTTTTTATTGTTTATAATTTACAAACTTTATATACATGGTGTCTATGAATCAAAACCCTATTAAGGGTTTAAAGGTTTGTTCGATTAATAAAAGAAACTACGTGGTTACTAAATTTATATAATAGGCAGCTCTCAAGATAAATGTATGAAGCACGAATCACTTTTTTTAAGAGAAAAGTTGACTCACACTACATTGAATGATTCATCATCATCATCAGCCTATTAATGTCCCCCCTGCTGGGGCACAGGCCTGCCCTATGGATGGAATAGGGAGATTGCGGCCCAGTGCGGATTGGCGGGTGTTAACGACTGCAGATGCAGCCGGGACCAACGGCTTAACGTGCCTTCCGAAGCACGAAGGAACTCGAGATAGAAGATTTTTGGTCACCCATCCAATGACCGACCAGTGCGAAAGTTGCTTAACTTCAACTATCGCAGCCGAACGCGCTAACCACCCGCGCCATCGAGTTCCACGAATGATTACTCATTTGATTTTAAAGTTTGTCTGTATTAAGTTTCGGTTTTAAATTAATTAAAATGTTGTTTAAGTTGATTGTTTATTGTCAAATCTTACGTTGTGTCCTTCACCCTTAAAGTTAGCTTGTTTTGTTGGTATTGTTTCCTTATTAATCATTCAGAACTATACTCTTAACTAGTAGATATTGAAAAGCTTGGTAGCACAATGGCTAACTTGTCATTATGGAAGTTAAGGGTTGGCTAGTCACTGGTTAAGTGACTAAACTATATTATTTCAAAGTTGTCGGTGCTTTTTTTTAGAAAATTATCCATAAACATAGGTTTAGAAGACATTCTATGCCCGGCTTCTAAAACAATGTTATGCTAATTAATTGATATCAGTTTCCATTGTTTCACGTGATGGTTTACGGCGTTTTCCAGGCCATATTACGTGATGGCAAAACCGAAGTCATGTACCCCATCATTGGGGGAAAATACCGATTTAGCTGAACATCAAACTAGTTTTCTAGTACTACTTTTAACACAATCCTACGAAGCTCCACATATTTTTAAGATAACACTTATTCTACGGCTATATAAAACGCCTGATGTGTAACACACCAGCTGACAGTAGCAGTACGTCATTGCTCCGTAATATATTTGAGGAAACTGTCCGGCTATTTGTTATCTTAGTCGTGTTATGTTTTCCGTACAAAAACATCAATCACCAACTAAGAGTCCCGCTGCGTAGTGTCCAAACAGTTATTACGCAATTACTTAGTTCCCTTGATAGATTGCCTGTTCCTTGTTCATCATAAGCCTTAATAAAGCCGCCAAGATAACTGGTAGGTGAGAATCTTAATGTTTTATTTTGATGAAATCTACGATTTCCGTGGTAGAAGAACGACGTCCATGCATACACGGCGTCGCCGTCGCCATCTTTGAACTCTTAAGTTCATTATAAAGCGAGCAGAGACACATAGCTGAATCCCGCAGTTATGCCTGGAGGGTGAGGGGTGATCGGGGAGTTCGTTTACCTGGAGCAGGTCGGCTGGCTAGGACAAGGTGCGTGGGAAAAGTCAGGTGACGCTGTAAACGGAGAAGTCCAGGATCGACTTAAGTGGGTGCGGGCCGGGCAGCTGCGCTGATGCGGAGTGGTTTGAAGTCTTCCACGCTTGCGTAAGCGCACGTCAATATATACCTGCACCGACGAGTGGCCCTCGGGCCGGTCTCCGCGGGCCGAATGCACCACTCAATTACCTGAGTCGAGGGGGTTTGTTAACAACAAACCATTGCGGCGTTGGTCATTGTACGTAGTTATAATGCATTTTTCTCCCCGTCATCGAAAAAAAATAGGTTAAATCTATACCATTATAGATGTCGAAAATCTACGATGCTAGTGGTTGAATGACGAAGGCGGTTAACCTCCTTCCAACTGAGTGTTCACGGCACTCACTTTTTTTGAACTTGTGATACAGCAACACACATTCTATGAAATTTCAGGATAATTCTTTTAAGAATTAAATAAATAAATATTTCCAACACTCACGCCAATTAGCCTAGCCCCAAAGAAAGCACTGTAAGGCTTGTGTTATGGGATACTAGCACATAATTATACTGTACATATATAAATATATGTAATTATTTAGAAATACATATTAAACATCCATGGCTAGAGTACAAATGCTCGTATTTATCACACAAACAACTGATACCACCGGGTTCCGAACACGGGACCTCTCGAGTCGGCGAAACCATGAAACCCGGCGTTAAAATCACTTGGCCACGGAGGTCGCGAACGAAACATGAAAAGTCATCTAAAAAAATTAAACATGAAAAGTCTTTTTATAACAAAATAATAAAATATAAACGTGTTTTAAAAAAACTATTTTTCTGTTGGACATACTAAAAATATGATTAAATATATTTTTAGTTTATCCGTTCCAAAACAAAACATCATAAGAAAGGAAAATTGGTGTTTGTAATTGTTTGCCTCCGGTGACGAATAGGATGAGATTATTATGTAAGTACTTGAAAGCAATTTTTCCCTTGGAAAATATTTTTAGATGTCAAGAAAGCGTAAATAAATATTGTGTACAGAATAAAACAGGCCAAGCGTGAATCTGGTCTCGCTGTATTAGGGTTCCGTAAAATAAATTGTCATTTTTTATCACAACTTACAATGTAAATTATGGGATGCTGTTTTCAGTACTTATTATTTAAATACAGCATGTAGGAAATAATAAACCGTATTAAATATATTTTAAAATATTTTAGAACCACACATGAAATTCCCAAATATCTAGCGAAAAAAAGCTTCACTTTATATACATCGACTTTGAAAATCTAGCTCACGTGTACGTGACACTGTAGTAGAGCAGAGCATAAACAGTTTTTTTTGGTGAAAACCAAATACGTTAGAAATCAATCAATTAAAATTGTTTTAACATCGTTGGTGTGGTATGAAAATGATGTAAGTCTGCAATGCCATTCAGACCGATAAATCTAAAAAAAAATGCAATAACCTACATTAGATTCTTAAAAAAATATCATGGAGCAATAATATACATACCGTACAATTTATTTATACCTACCGATTAAAGTTACTTTGCTTATAATAAGTTTTATCGAAGTAAAATAATGTATAAAATAAATAAGGACCATAGTTTGAATAATTAAATTCATTTAATAAGTATGGGTAACTAGCTTCTGCTTACTTTTAAAATGGTCAAGTCACGTCCCAAGTGATTTTATGCAAACATGATGCAAACAACAAGCAATACTTGTTTTCCATTTCATAAAGCGAGACGGTAACATGTTCGTATTGTTCGTCTCACTCACTCGTAGTTGTGGGCAATGCTTTTAATAACGTTAAAGAATAGACGTAACGTTATTTTTAACAAATTCAATATTAAAAACAACATGACTGTGATATAAGTTCATAATAATAATAACAAAGATTATTGCTGTACAAGATTTCTATAAACAAATAATTAAATAGCCCATATTTCACTCCATATTTAATTATTATATTGCCGGCGTCTTTAAGCCGTGGTACTCATATTTTTTTATAATAAAGCTAATCCGGTGGAATATCATCATATTTAAATCATTCTTAATTTTACAAGAAAGCAGTTGAAAATTTTCACAATTAATAATTTTATTAAAATATTGTATGATTTTACTGTAATAGTTATAATAAACTGTAGATTTTTTTACTTAAATTAAATAAAAAAATATATAGAATAAATAATCTCATTATATTTCCTAATGAATTTAAGTAGGTATTTACCCTTATAAACTACAAATGTGAGGAAAAACTGGACTAATAGGCGCATAAATACAATTATGCGGTTGTCTTTCCAAAATCGAAGAAAATAAAATTGAATCCGGAGTAAGAAACACAAAAAAAACAGTTATGCCATTTAGCTAAAACTATTAGCAACACAATTATGAGGTTATACTTTTTAGTGAACATAGGCTTATTATGATATAAATATTTAAAAAATTCAATTTTGAAACAAAAATACAATTGTGATGTTCATAATATTTATTTTTTTAAACATCTATAGTATTTAAGTCCTCATCAGATAAACACTTTTAAGGTTGGAGCACACACCAAAAATGGATGAAGAAGATCAGCACCTCAACTTTAGCCATCTGGTGTATTTTGTATGAAATTTCATGCTCGCATACTCTTATCAGCATCGTAAAGTGGTAGATAAGGTGGTGAACTGAAATTTTCTGATGTGTTTAATTATTGATTATTTGTATATTTTTTTAAATTTATTAATGACATACATAATAACATTTTAATTCATCATATTAATTCATTTACAAAAAAATCATCATGGTTTAAACCAGAAATGAGTTGGACGGCGATCATTCAATACAAGAAAAAAAATCAATAAACAATAATGTCAAAAATATAAATAAACATATTATGACATATATATGTATATCTTACTCTCCCCTAAGAACATCGTAATCAGGCGTTTAAAGCTTTTTTTACTGAAAATTTAATCTCTTTTATAGATAATCTTACAAAGTAAAGTACCTAAACTTAATCTAATCGATATCAAAACGATATTGTTAAAAAATCTCTTTTAATGTCATTCATAGCTTACCCGATATAGCACTCACAGACAACCCATAATCAGCAACTCTACAAAACAAAATAACGTTATCAATTACACACTTTGAATAAATAACGTTATTTGGTTACTTGCGCAGCAGTGATTGATCGCGGCTATCAATCAAACACCGGCCGGTGCGCATCATAATAGCGGACACCGGACTGTCTATTTTGAGTTCATTTCAAAGTGTTGGCTCATAAAAATGGCGTGTTGTAAGTATTATTTGTTACATTGTTTATTTTATTACGACGTTAGTTGTTGAATTGTTATTGCTTTGGTTAATAACTATATACTTAGATGAGTCGTTTCGTTGTCAAGGTCTTTTTTTGTTTTTGTTTTACTCGGTGTTCGTGCAAGTTTTGTTTGACAGTAAATTATACTTATCAGTATTACTCAATTCTTTCTATTTTAGTTAGTTGCTATGTTGAATTGTTAATTATACATTTATTGATTTAATAGTGATAATTAAACTTCGTGAGAAATAAATTATATCGGGTTACCATAAAATGTCTAACTTTCTTCATCGATAATAAACTTTGACAAATTCCTTAGGATTCAAATCAATTAAAGTTTGCGAGTTTTAGATAATTCGAGGTTTTTTAACAGTAGATATATTTACTAATGCATTCGATGAATTAGAATTTTCGAAGGGTTTTTTTTGCTTGTCGTGAAATATAAATGGAAAATCATATTTTTTTAGTTTTTTTTTATATTTTTTTATAACACATCCTATTTTTAAATAGTGCCAACTTATTGTTATCTCAGATAAGTTCTGTACCTACCTCCTCTTTTCGTGTGCCTCTGTTTGTATGAAATAATAACTTAGGTAATAATCGCCAATTTCTTTCGTTCATTAAAATTATCTTGAATAGTACTTGAATATTTTTTTTAGTTTAAAATTGCATTCTTTTGACCAGTATACATTTAGTTTATTATGACGATTTCAATTAAAAATATATTTACATAAACGCATAAATCATGATGTACCACAATAAGCGTTTTTGCTCCAACGATGCGCCCAATATGATAACCCCTTTGCACTTATTTGTCAGCTGTAAGAAACTTATTCGTCCGTGTCACGTGATAAGCGAAATAAAGGAGCGGCCGAAAGGTCACAAACTAGAAAAAAGTGGCAGACACACCAAGCGGGCTGCAATTTATCATTCGCGCCCCGGGCGTGACTTCAAAGGCTCAAACGAGGTCCCTCAAACAACTGACTTTAATCTCAATGTTTGATAAAAGTTTTCAAAGAAAAATCCGTTAGGGCATTTGTCGGCATATAAATCGTGTTCAGTTAAGAACTGCTTGGTGCAAAAGTTTAATTTTATACAGAAAGTCTTAATTTTGTATGATTGGGCACTTCAAATCTTGCCGCTGGATAAAAAAAATAAGTATTTTTTTAACCATGTACATCATTCATATATTTCTTCACGTACCTGATATTGTGACAAAGCGTTCAGTACCCTTAGCACGAACCAATATCGAATTCCTAACTTTCGCTAGTACAAAATGTCATTGTCAAATTTGTACTGACTTTTAGTTCTCTTTACGTCCGTTACGGCGCTGCTGTTTAAGTTTCCATACAAAATTTGACAATAACTTTTCTGACTCACAATTTATTCGAGTTCGATAATGGTTCGTGCTAAGGGTACAGCACGTAGATTCGAATGACAAGTACAATTTCACTTTCGATTTCGTGAATTCGAATCTTGGACAGATGACAAATATTTATAATCTGACTGCTTTAACTATCATTGCGGCATTTTGCAGTATAAAAACGTAATACATATTTATCTAATACCTAAAATTGGAATTATCAAACTCAAAAGTGACATTTTATTCCAGAATCGCCCGCCCTACTAGATCATAGACATTTGAAATTTACAGGGATAATTCCCCAATTTTCCCTTTTTTTAATTTTATTGAAAATAATGGTATCTAACTATGAATATTTATTTCCGGTAATATTTCCAATGAGTTTCTTATATTCCTGGAAACATTAGAAACTGTGAATATTTCCGGGAGTATTCCAGTGAATCTCTTAAGTTCCCAGCATAGAGATATCACTTTTTTTTATTTAAATTTATATGTTTCGCTTAAATTTAAGGTGGGTATGTAGCCCGCTCAATCCCACGCACAGTGCATTGATGGAACCTGAACAAAGAAGTAATTTATATGCAGGCGTTACCCGATGTGATTATCAAATTCAAAGGGGCGTCTGCGTCAATGTTTGAGTCCAACTCCACCCTCGCTTATCCAATAGAAAATAAAATAATGTTGTGATTCCTATCAAAAATTTATTTAGAGTGACAGTTCTTCCATAAAAGGAATTTGCTTTCTTAACGGGAAATTTGGACGTCCTTAGGCGAAACAGAACAACAATATTGAGTGGAATGAAATTTCCGTTTATTGTTTCTTGAAATAGGGATCGATTTGACTCGAATGAAGCTTGTCGTAATGTTGTTACTGAAAATTTTATTGTGAAATAAACGTAGGTATTGTCCCGTTTGTGTCGAGGTTATTGTGAATTTGGACTGTATTGTTAGGGGGTTTATTATTTGGTCAAAACGAAAACGACATTTCGTTTCTCAAATTATGTTGTCAGGCCCGTTTTACGTTATTATTGATTTCGTGCTAAAACTGAAAATAAAAGGAGTGCTGCATAAACTGCTTCTTATTTGTTTTATTATTTATTTGTTATTTTATTCATTGTGACTTCATTAGTAACATAATAAGTTTATTAAAGGGCTGGCTGTCAAAATTTTACTGTTTGAAGATTTTCAGTACCTTATAACACATTGGTGGCTTACTCTAAGCCATATACAGTCAATTCTTTGAACAAAATATTTAAATGTTGTTCACCAATATTATAATTATATGTACTATTGGCATTGTGATAATTGCTCGAACTAAATTCATTACATGTTTTATATTATTTAAAGAAAAAAGTTTTTTTTTGTTCTGTGGCTGTTTCCGTTTTACACAGAAATTTCGCCAATATCCCGTATTTGAAAAAATAATTTTGCTTATACTGTCATTTAACGTTAAGTGTAAAGGAGAAAAACCACTTTGAATGGGGGGTTGGTACAAATACCAAGTTATTTGTACAGGAGCAAATGTAAATTGTAAATGTTATTGTTAATGTATACTGCCAGTCTTTAATTGAATTCGATAGATAGTTGGGTTAATGAGATATATTGATTTGAATTTAAATAAAAATAAAAAATATTTAATAAATCCAATTTATGCGTGATTTTTTTCTTACAATTTATTAATGTTATAAACATTAGTTATTTGAGCAATTTAAACAGTACTTCAATAAAACATTAAACTCAAGATGAGTTAAATCGATTGTTTCGAATATAATAGCAAAATCCTTCATACGCTTCGCTTCACTTCACTTCGTTTCTTAAAGGACTTCGCACTTTAAAGGTTTTATACTATTTTCTGAGTTTCACCACTAGCTAAAAAAATACTTTATATGTTATATTACTTACTTTTCAATGCTTAACATAATTATCAAAAAATATGTTTGTACAAGATCAGTACCAAAACGATTGTTCTTTCAATTATTTAATTTCTGTCATAAGAGAATTTCGTTTCTTTACCAAAAACGAATATGTATCTGAAACAAGGAAACTACGTAACAGATCTGAGGCCCAAGCTGGAAATTTAACAGCTCCGTAATCATACAATTTACGCATCGTCATAGTTTCTATAAAAACTAAGCAGCGCCTCCTATCAGACATAAGAATAAACTAGCTTTTTTCATATAAAAGTTGACGATGACGATTCGATTACAGTGTTGTAAAAGTTTGTGCTTGGCCCTCTGATTGTAAACAAGAACACATTTTTGAAAAATAGAAGAAATTTTCTGACTTTAGTTGCGCGAGTAGTATGTACGCCGGGTTTTAAGGTGACCCCTTCTCAGAGGTCTCGGGTTCGAATCCCGGTGAGAAAAATGTTAGTATGATGAATACGACCATATTTTGTACCTTCCCTATACCATACCTAGGACATGGACGTTTATATAAATTTACTTATATACTCGTACGTGTCAGTAATATGTATTTTATATATTACCCTAGTATCCCATACCACAAGCTTTACAGTGCTTACTGTGGGGCTAGGCTGATTATTTTTATTTTATTATTATTGTTATCGACAGGCAAGGGCCCGGGATACGCGTCTCCTTTGGACGCGTTCAAGAACGGCGCTAGGGAGGAGCTCCTGTACGTGATCTGTGTGCAGCCAGACACTACAAAGCAGGACTACATCGCTACGGTCGATGTGGACCCGAAGTCACCTACTTACTGCCAAGTTAGTGTAACACAGTAAAATGTACCATTAGTAACTAAAATTTTACCTAAATATCTACATTACTTCCTAATACACCTTTTTAATACAGATACAGGTATATGCATAAGTAATTTAAAACTGTATAAAGGTCGTATTATAGACAATAATCAGATCATCGGAGTGTAATAAAATTAGAGTTGAGTGATATCTTTATAGTGAGTGATTAGCCAGCTATCAGTAGTATTCCCTAATAGAGTTACTCTTAACTCTGAAAAAAAAAAGAAAAAGTCACATGTAATCTTATTATATTTGAGTCTTAGATTTTTACGCACATCACTCATTAAATAAAAGACTTTTCAACGGGTTATATGCACTGATTTTATTTATTTATTGACGTTTTGTAGCCTGCAAAGCATTGCTGCAAAGGCTAAGGCTAAGGCAATAGTGTATCTAACCCGTAGAAACTTCTTTTATTTAATGTTGTCTTATTGTCTCATTTTTATCGTAAAGAAACTTTTATCAAATTTAAAAGTTAATTGTCCATCTCTGAGTAAGTAAAATTTTAAGTGCATTTGATACCCACCTTTCAATCAACTGCTTCAGGGCGAGATGCAATGTTACAACAATGTTATACCTCAACTTTCTCTCTTCCTTATCCAAAGCCTGAAAACTCTTAAAATATCATCGTCTAAAAACATTCCCATAATACCTAAGTTCGTACGAGCCAAACGTTCAAGTCGAGCTTGAGTGCCCAGTAAAATCATTTTGAGTACATTTAAAGCTTCATTTCTTGGCAAGGGGACGCACGCAATTTGCGCTATATCTGTATTAGCGTATAAAAATCCCGGCCCAGCGTTTAGCCCGCTAAGGCAATAACGTCCCAGTAATCCAGCAGGATCACCGGATTCAGCAGCGAAGTATTATTGTGTACTTACCCATTGCAATACGACCCGGGAACTAAATTAACAACCGGAATGCAATATATCCCGGTGGAGGAATTGTCGTGTGCATCCCGGAAGATTAGTTAGGTTTGTATTAACGTTACGCTACAGGTTGTACTTTTTTCTATAGGTTATTCAAAATACTATCTTGCAAAGATTCTAAGATCATTTTATGTGCCGCGAAAACCTTGTATCCCCTTATTAATAAACGAAATATAAGCTTGGATTAGTTACTCCGTGTTTAGTATCTGTTTATTGAAATACAATTAGTATTTGTGTGATATGAACAAAACGTGGTGTAACTAGTCTAAGCTTATATCTCGTTAATTAATAAGGTTTAATTGGAAGTCCATAAGAAGAGCCTGTCATAAAGCTATCAAAACAATTACTAATCATCTTAAGTCAGAGACGTCAATTAAATTTTAGGTTAGAAATGCTTATAGACGGTTCGGAAGTAGAGAAACTGGTGATTTGTAATACAGGTCTATACAGCAAGCAACTACATAGATGTATTAAGGTTAAAATAACAATGTATTGTTATGTGAGAAAAGAAATAAAATAATTAAGTATAAATATTAGATCAGTACCCCTAGCAAGAACCATTATCGAATTCGGTTAGTTTGCAAACCGAAATGTCAATGTAAAATTTTGTATGGAAACTTGAACAGCAGCGGCACAAAGTAGGTACGTAACGAGAACCAAAAATCAGTACACATTTGACAATGACATTAATTCGGACTCGCAAACGTTATGAATTCGATATTGGTTCAGGTTGGGGTACAGTACCCCTAGCACGATAAAAGAATAATCAGACTTTATGAAGCATTCAATTAATTGACTTTGTCGAGTATAGCCGTAAGAGATGTAACTGGGTATACCGAATTTTTCGCTCGCTCCAGCGGTGGCGATTCTGAAGTCGGAGTCCGAACGCTTGTCATCGACCTGCAACTCAGAAGGTCTCCTTTAAGAACCTATAAAAGTCTGGCCGGATCGCTGAAGGTTCAGCAACTCCGACCTGGCCTCCTCAGTCATAACCACAGGTGGCATGACCGAGCGTGTGTGAGAGCGAGGTATGAGGGCGCCAGCCCTCCCTGCCGTGAGGGACAGGGAGGCGTGTGTCTCATGTCCCCAAGTCCCGCGACAAAGTGGTTGCCGCGGGGTGAATACCTTTACTTACAGAGTCCAGGCGATAAGCTGGCAAAGAACACTGCACTACACTAAACTACACTGCACAATGACGATGTACAACCGTGGAGAATGGGATACCGAACCAATGTGAAATAATAAAACCTTCCTAATCAATTCCTGCAGTGAGTCTTCACTGCGGGAAACTGCTCGAAAATTAAATGACGACGGGCAAAACCACGGGGGTCGGGGGAATGGTCGAACGGGCGACCGACGGATAATATCATGTGCCACGGTATTTTTCGTCGAGCAGACTAAGTATAAAAAGTTCGCGACATGTCAATCTTTTAAGTTTGATTCACTATAACCTTTTTCATCAAATTAACGTGGGTGAAACCGCAGGGGACCTCATAAGTAAGTTTAAGGTTCATAAAGATAGGTTCAATAGAAAATGTTTATCAATAATACTCAACCATTAAGATTTTCAGTGCTATTTTTATGATTCCGATCATATCAAGATCTGTATATTCAATATAAAGATAACATTTTCAACCATATTCTTATCCTACTGTACAGAGATACTACAATGTCATAACAATTTTAGATAAGTAATCTAAGATATTATTTGCAATATTATTGTCCCGATGAAATGAAATGAAATGAAATAAAAAGTCATTTATTCAGTCTAGGCTGTTACAAGCACTTGTCAAGGTCAAGAAGCTACGCTACGGATGAATAAGTTTATGTAACGGTCTTTAAATAGGTTGCTTTGAATTTGATCCTCAAATAGTTCAAAGTTTATGTTATATTTAGATTAAAATAAAACAAATTCTAAAACCCAGTCAACAGGGTAAATACACCAAAATTCTCGCTTGATATTTAGGGTACCTTAATCCTTTTAATCAGTGATCCACATAGCGAAAGGTCTAATGCAATACTTTCCTTATTATCTCTCATTACCTTCCCATCTCCTTTCTCGCTAATAACACTTTCAAGATACCAGAACAGCTACAAGTGATTAATAAAAATCAAAATAAAACTAGTAGCAATCTTAAGATTTTTTCCATTATCAAATAATTTAATATTTTCTAACTCGTCACCAGGTAATCCATCGTACGTATACTGGCAATGTTGGGGACGAACTACATCACTTTGGGTGGAATGTATGCTCCAGTTGCCATGACAACGCAAACTTGAAGAGGGACCTTCTGATTGTACCTGCATTAAAGTCATGCAACGTGTACGCAATTGATGTTGGCAAGAATCTGAGGAAACCTGAATTGCATAAGGTAAACATTACAATATCCATTCTTGCGACTGTTATTGAAATTGAAAAGGAAGATTACAGGACGACTTGGGCATGATACTTAGTGTGGCTGTCATTATCACATTTTTTACTTTACTTTTACTTAACATAAAATAAGAATAATTTGGCTATCGTTATTATCACGTTCAGCATCTAGTTTGTTATACTACTAGTATTGCAGATGTCAATAGGCGATAGTAATCACATACTGTCAGGTGAGTAGTCTGCTCGTATAATATAAAAATGTTTGAAAATTTTTGAAGACGCTTTGCATCCCAATAAGTTTAAAGAAAAATATACGATGCTAGGTACTTGTTAATAGTAATGTAGGTAGGTACTCGTATGTCGATAAAATCTGTAAATCTAAAGAATTTTATTTCTATTGAAATTTTCATAAGAATTAAACATCTCAGTTAAATGCTTAAAATAAAAATGTAGATCATAATCTAATCTGTAAATTTTAAATCATTTTAAACTAAGTATGTGATTTATTATCAATATACTTGAATAATCGTATCGTAAAACCTTTGTTACCGAACAACACCATGCGTAGTTTGGGGTTGTTTGCCCTCGATGCTCGTAAACCTGAGATTTATGTCGAGTGATTGGCAAACTTTTTTAATTCTTCGTCTTTATTATTCAGATTTCCCCGACGACAACAACTTTTTTTATTAAGGGGAGCGTGATTTGTCTCTATTTTACCAAGCCCAAAGAAAAATAATGTAGATATAGAACTACCTATTCTTGAAATTCTTATGGATAAATTTAAAAGGCAGGTAAAACTTTGCTGTTACGTGATTTCTTAAACTAATTAAATGGAACATAAGATAGAAATAGAAAGTAATAACCAATATGTTTGCGCCATGAGGATTACTAAGTGCAAACAAAAACAGACGATATATAAGTAAGTAACGAATATTAGATACCACATGACAATACAAAATTGATAAAGCTTATCTCAGTTGCTACCATATTGCGTTAATGTGATAGCAAGCGAGATGTTTTTTTATCATGTTTAAAATAATATTCACTAAAAGGTGATAGTGAGTAATGTAAAAGGTCAGTTACCAATTTAAAAATACGGCTATAATTAAAATGTTAACTAAAATTAAAATCACGAATAATAACAACAACAACAGGTACTAAGATCACCGAAACGAATAACGAAATATAATGATGAAAATAGATCACCTCTCTTTTGAGAAACCAACTGGAATTCGAACCATTTCAGATTTCGAGAACAAATTCACTGCTTTATTAGTAACCAGATATTAATATGTTAACCTGAGAACCTCTGCTTATACCTAGTAAGGTCATAAATTCTGTCACATGTTTAATATAAAATAATTGAAACAAGTTTATTCATGATGTAACCATTTATATACCAAAATGAACTTATCAAAACATAGATTCTTATGACAATAAAGTTTATTCAAAATTACCTCCGTGATTTTGAATACAGGCCTTCAATCTGCGCGGCCAGTCGTCTATCGCAGCACGAACGAGGTCCATTCTTTATACTCTTTATTGCATCACATAGTTAAAACATATAGTCAAATACATAGTAAGCAAAGGTGGGCTTATCTCTAAAAGAGATCTATTCCAGCCAACCTAGGTGGTGTCGGAGATTTACAACTTAGCGGGAAACAGAAAGTGCAATAAAAATTAAACTAAAAATAATTTATTACTACTGTTATAGGAAATAGACTTAATAAATAATAGTTATTTATATATATATATATATATACGATACACATTACAAGAAAAGAAAAGGAATTCAAATAGGAGATTGTATTACTTTTAGGAAGCTCAAGCGTCTTAGTAATGCAAGGTCGCCTAGAGCGTGAAGGAGGGGGAAGAATCTTAAATCGGGAACGCAGGTATACTGGGGAGTTTGGATCTTTGAGAATCTTGAATAAGAAGACCAGCATATGCAAATCTCGGCGAAGACGAATAGGGAGCCATTGAAGTAGAGAGCGATAAGCTGACACATGATCATACTTCCGCAGACCAAATATAAATCGTATGGCTGAATTTTGGAGTCGTTCTAATTTATTGAGTAGCTCTTCATTTGCATCAGGATAACAGACATCGGCATAGTCGAGAATTGGAAGTAGGACTGATTGCGCTTACATAATTTTGGTTTTAAATGGTAAAAAATATTGAAGTCGCTTGAGAGAGTGGAAAGAGTAATGTATACGCTTACTAACTTCACCAATATGCGGGGACCATAACATGTTACAGTCCATTATCAAACCAAGGTTTTTAACTTTGTCAGTGTATGGTATTGGAATATTGTTGTAGAGGAGTGGAGGAACAATATTCCAATCCAGTCTACTCCTGAGCCGGCTGTTACCCACAATCATAGCCTGACATTTGCTTGGATTTATTGCCAGACCAAACGAAGTTGCCCAGCTTAAAAAGGAGACCAGATCACGATTTAACAAGGCAATAGCATCGCAAACTTCACCGGTAGGAAAGTGTCGGTAGATCTCACATTGCGGTACACCTGTCAATACACGTACCCAGTCAGAGCACGAGTCATTATAGACCACTCGTTGGAAACGGTCAAAAAGGTAACTCCGAAACCATTCTATAACTGAAGGAGAAACATTAGCAGACTGAAGAGTGCCCAAAAGAAGGTCAAAGTCGACATAGTTGAAAGCACTGCTGAAATCAAGCAAAATTATAGCCGTAATTTTGGTGTTATCTATTGCATGTCCAATGTCCTCAGGGACATCAAGCAATGCTCCGACAGTGCTATGTGAAGGACGGAAGCAAGATTGCTGGGGACAAAGTAAAGAATTAGATGAGACGAAGGAATAAATCTGATTATGAACAATGGACTCAAGGACTTTGGATAGGATTGGGAGTATAGAGATGGGACGATACTGAGACAGAAAAGATGGATTTGGAACCTTGGGAATGGGTATGACATTGGCTTTCTTCCAAGATGTGGGAAAAACATTGTGCTGAAGTGAGAAATTTATAATAAATGTAATTATAGGCACAATGTCATCCAGTACAGGAAGCAGCATGTCAAGGCTAAGACCATCACTGCCGATGGCTTTAGTAGAGATAGACCGGACATTCTTCCCAACGTCTGCCTCAGAAACTGTGTTAAAAGAAAAAGCTGGAAAGTTATGGGTACTGGGTCTAGTCAGAGAAGAGAGAGTGTCTGCTTTAGATGATGAGTTCAGACAGAGAGGAGATGTTGTGAAGTGCGTATTAAGAGAGTTGATATCCACAGGTACTGAATTTGAGTCAACAGTCTTTCCCACACCCAAGGACCTCAAAAAACTCCAGATGTGTTTTTGGTCTAACTTTTCGACCTGTGAGTGCACATATTTACGTTTTGCGTCCCGGCACATCCTGTTGCAAAGGTTCCGCAGTTTCTTATATGCCTGGAGGTTATCAGAAGTAGGTGATTTTTTTAGACAACTTTTGGCTTTGTCTCGTTTACCCATCAACTTATCCATGTCAATATCGGCGGCTGCCTTAATCAAGGATGTCTTGAGTGACTCCAAATTGGGATGAGGCTTTGAGTACGCCTTTTCCTCCAAGTGTTGCCATATCTTGTAATCTAACGGACTCAAATCTGGACTGGAGGAGGGCTAGTCTTCGTGCCGGATGCAGTCGATTTCATGCGCCTGCAGCCAGTCTTGTGTGCTCTTCGCTCTATGAGCTGGCGCCGAAATTGTTGGAATACCCAGTGCCTGTTATTGAACATGGTATGAGAAACAGGTTCCACAAGGTTCATCAGGACTGTATTTTGATACACAACTGTATTCGTTTTTACACCTTTCTCACAAAAATGTACCTCTGTTAAGCCCCAATAAGAAACTCCCAACCATACCATGAGCGAGGATGGAAAATGACCTCGTTGGACACGCGGAATACGGTTGCTCGCTTCTTCACTACTGTTTGCGTACACCTTATCATTTTGTTTGTTGTAGCTCTCTTCTACGGTATTTTTTTTTACATCCGAATAAAGAATTTCCCGATATTTTTTCCCGCGTACCGCTTTAACAAAATGCGGCATCTCTTCAGTCTCAGTTCCGTTAGATGAGCATTCAAACGATGTCCTGTTTTTCTTCGATATGCCCGAAGCCCTAAGTCTTCATATAACACCCTTTTCACCGTGGTTCTGCTTAACCCCATCTGAAGGGCCAACAGTTTCTGCTTACGTTTGGGATTTCTTTGAATTCGCGCCTTCACAGCTTTTATCACTGCTAGAGTCCTAACAAACCGAAGGCGACCACTTCTTGACCTGTCATCTACACTAGAGTCTTCATTGTATCGTTTGATGGTACGATAAACGAATCGTTTGGTTATATTAAATTTTTTCAGTTTGTCAAAAAAATTAATTAGCGTGTAACCGCAACGATGCATCGCAATAACTGCAACACGGTCTTCTTTCAGCGTCCACTCCATATTTAAAAATGAGTAAAATTCTAAAAAGTATACATTTTTATTTTTATGAACAATTCGAAATTCGAATTCAAAAACTTTTTTGTGGCCAGCATTCTAAAAGAAAAGTTTTTACTGTGCGATACTTATGATCTGACTGTGTAATAATGAAGTGGACACTGCGTCAGTGACTATGCTCGAGCAGCAATATGTGATTTCTTGATCCGCCAAACGTGGTTATGGTTATATTTATACTTTGAAGACGTAACATTAACAACAAACAGATTTTGTTACTTTCAAGAATGGTTGTACGACTTCATAGAGCCATACGGAAGGGAGTAGCCATAGCGACATAATACTAATCAAATCGTTCTGCAGTTCTGCTACACTCACGCATAAACAATGACACGATATAGCGCTAATGCCCTATGTGACAGAGCCTACTCTCGTCTTGGCCGCGTCGACCGTGTTGCTCGAAGTACGACTTTTATAGTGTAAGTTCCGCGATTTTTAGTTAATAACTGTATAGTTTTGTTACTTTTATTAATAGTTGTGTTTCTCTACGACTTTCTTAGTCTAAATTCATAGCAATAATAGTACGTTCAAAGTTTGACTCCGCAGTGATTGTCAAACTTGAGCAGGCATTCGTATCGGAGACAGTTCGCTAACTCGTTATTGGCTGTTAGTTTCCCGTCTGACTTTCTCACTCCATTTTATTTTAGAGCTTGCGAGATTCAAAGCTGAACGCATTTGAGTTTTACAACGTATTCGATATTTTATGCAAAACTGTAATCGTTACTTCAATATTGATCATAGATTACAATAAAAACATGTCCCTGAAAACCCCATACACAGGGCGCTCATTTACAATCCGTTCGAGAAAAAAAAATATTACAATGCAGGAACAGAAGGTTCTTTGAGTGAACAAGATTAAAAAAAAACAATTATCTTTATTTTTGAATACAACAAATATATTAGAAAGGTAAGATAAAAAACATTTTATTTTGTAACGAGTAGAGAAGAAAAATGGATAACCATTTATCAAAATTTGACACATTTTACCAATGTATTTGACGTGACTTTGAATAATAGTCAAATTTAACTATGTTTTGAACAGCGGGGCCTTTAACCATTATAAAATATTACTAGACAACTTGACGAGTTCTTAACTAACCAACACAATTTAATCTTTTTCATCTTCCATCTATATTTCCTTGTCTAGTTGCAAGCAGCAATTTCACGAACAATTATTATTTATCTTATATCGAAAGGTAAATTATTTCATGAAATTAATGCATTGTTTATTGAGCAAACTAAACTTATTTCTTTAAGAAGAATTGAGACAAGACATACTAAAATCTTATGACAAAATATTTTCTCCGCAAAATCACGCCCTAACAGCAAAGTACCAACCGCTGATGAGATCGCAAATCTTATTATCAGGTTATAGACGGGGAGGAGATGAGGTCATTTGACTGCACTTTCCCACATACAACACACTGCCTGGCTACAGGGGATATCATGATCTCTACGATGGGAGATAAGAATGAAAACGCTAAAGGAGATTTTGTGCTCATCGATTCCAAAACGCTGAAAGTGAAAGGTGAATGAATACCTCTTTATATTTTTATTGATTACTCCGCGGCGCAAGAAGACTTGTTGACGCCCTTAAATCGATACAACAAAGTTCAGTTTTGTGTAGCACAACAACGTAACATCTTTGTCTTAAAAATAATTCTTTTTTCCAGGAACATGGACCAAAGGGAAAAAACTGGCGAAATTTGGATACGACTTTTGGTATCAGCCTTACCATGACGTAATGATTTCTACTGAATGGGGTACGCCAAAATATTTCAAGACGTAAGTTATTCAAATGAAAATATACAATGAAACTTTTTATTTACTCGAGTTAAAATATGATTCTGTTTTGTATAAAAAGCCACGCTGATAAATCTTTCTGACTCTACGCCTGTAATGAGAGAAAATATGGACGCCATCCGGCAGACGTGTTCAAATTATTTATTAAAATCCTTTTCATTCTAATTTGTAGACTTTTTATTTTGTTTGTCCTTGCTACATTGAAGCGGACGAATGTTCAATTGTTTTTTCGTTTTATTAAACAAAAGAACTCCTTGGCAGTGGATTCCATGCTGGTGACGTGACAGATCCAGAGCGTTACGGCACTTCGTTAAACATCTACAAATGGTCTACACACGAATTGCAGCACGTCATAGATTTGGGTAAAGAGGGCACCGCGCCGTTGGAAATCCGATTCCTGCATGATCCCAAAGCCGCTCAAGGATTTGTCGGGTGCGCTGTGGAGGCTAACGTTTACAGGTTCGAGATTTGTCCGGATTTAACTTGAGTACTTTTTGCCTTTGATACACCTAATAAGGCTGTTTGTACCTTAGAAAAAGGATGGAAATAAAGCCAAAAAAGTTAACCTAGTACCAGTTCTTAGCTTAAACTTGCCTATATATTTAAGTTGACCATTTAAGTTCTTGCTGTTCAATTAAGTTATTTACCTATAGTAAAATACAATTCTGATGCAAAATAATAATACCACATGTAACAAAAATCAGAATAATGTAATTAATAATAATCACTACAAAAAAATGGAAAGTTTATATTGTACTTCAAAAGCATAATATAGTATTCCGGCGCTTCTAAAAAGTCAATCCATAGTCATTAATGTTTAATTTATATATACAGAATGTTTGATAAAACAATAACAATATATATAACCATATCTTTGTTCAGATTCTATAAAGCAGAAGATGGAACATGGAAAACCCACAAAGTCATAGACATACCAGCGAAGAAAGTTGTCAAAGACGGCATAGAATCTGAGCTTAACGGTAACTATTCCTTTCGGTTTTTTATCTTTGTATTGCTTTTGCTTTCCAACAATTTTACATGGTGTTTTTCTAAAAAACAACAGCTAAATTTTATGTGTAAACATTTCCTTTATACAAGTTAATTAATTTATTAACATAACTTTTTCATAAAAAATATTTTCAAACTTTTGCTACATCGTACAACGTAACATTTAAATCGTATTGTATTTTGTACGTTTTTCTTTTATATTAACTATCTTTAAATACAATTCAAAAGATCACAAGCTATGGTATTTTTTCCAGCTGCTTAATATTACAGCATTATTTTGTGAACCTCTTTTATACGTGATACGCATTTCATAATAGCTGGTCCGATTTCATACTTGATTCTAGTTCAATCCTTTTATTTTGTTGGCGGTAACATGACAGTTCTATTAACTTTTTGCTTAAGGTCTAATGTCCGACATTATTTTGTCACTGGACGATAAATATTTATACACATCATGCTGGCTCCACGGAGACGTGAGACAGTATGATATAACCGACCCCAAGAATCCCAAGCTGACTGGGCATATCTTCCTTGGCGGACAACTTCTCAATGGATACCAACTCGTGGAAGATAAGGAGTTTAAGGCAAGGAATTCCAATTTTCCAATCCACTAATGCCTCAAATTAATGTGTCATGACTTAACACAATTACGCTTTCGCCAAATCATTCTTTTCATTTCAGTTCATGCCTTCTGCTTCGCTAAATTACTTTCTAATGTTTGTACCATTTGTTAAGTATATCTTAGGGTCTGAACAGACTGGATAATTTAAGTTGCTATTCAAAATGTAAATATCATTTGCACGCTTTATTTTTTTAGGAATTCGTAGTTTGTAAAAAAATGTTTATCAAATAAAAAATTTGAGAATAAGATTCTTTATGAAGTTTTGAAATTGTTAAACGTTCGATATTGTAGCGAATGATATTATATTTTGCGTACATAATATGCACTTCAAGTTAGTATATATAGTTGCAACAATATCAATTAGGTTCCTTCTATGTCGCCGATCACTGCGATCGAAAATAATTATTTGTCTGGTATCTCTACTCACAACCAGAGCTATTGTCTGCATTTTACGTATAGATAATTAATTGAATTTTGTATTCATGACTTTAAAGTTGCTTTTCCAGCGCATCGGCTGTACATTTATTAATTGAGATAGTCACTCCTCACGTTCTGATTTTATTTCTAGATATGTTTTAAGCCTATTTCTTCCTTCATAGCTAAGCATGTTTAAGATATGAGTTTTGAAATCTTTGTGATTTTTCTTTCTAGGTACAGGGATATTAAATAAACAATATTTTAGTGTATGTTTTAGATTAACAAGTACTGCAGGTGATTAAGCCAAGGTCAAAAGAAAATTTTTGAAAAATCAACACTAATGCCACAAAATTGGAAAATCATGAAGTAGTTTTTTATAATGGAATCTGCACGTCGCGTCGCCTCTGTAACGTGCAATCTCACTGGCGATATACGATAATCTTTTTTGTCAATAATTTAAATGTATATTCATGGCAGCTTCAACAGTTATTGTGATATTTTGCTGTATGAATAGCCTTTGTCTAAAAAACGAAATATCTAGGTCAATAGTGAGATCTTATTTGACAGAATCTACATACTGAACACTTCTTATGTTGTCATTAATAGCTCCCGTAACTGATGCGGGTCGCCAGATTAAAATAATTTAAAGTTTATTATTTTTATAGGAGCCTCCAAAGCCTGTGACCATAAAAGGCAAGCGGCTGTATGGCTCACCTCAGATGTTGCAATTGTCGTTAGATGGGAAACGATTGTATGTGTCCTCGTCGCTTTTCTCACCTTGGGATAAGCAGTTCTACCCGAAAATGATTGAAAAGGTAATACACTTTATTTTTATATTACAAAAGTATAGTAAAGCTACCGACTAACAGGTTGCCGAAGGTTTAAGGATGGTTCAAGCAAGTTGAAAGACATGCATTTCTCTTATGAAATTCTTGATAAGGAAATTTTCGATCTATGTCTGTGGCAAGTCCACTATACGACAGACGGACACGAAAGCGAGTTATATTTGGGTCCCACCAACCTCTACCGGTCCGCAATAAACACTCTTTATCTCGTCCCTATATGAAAACCTTCGGTCTTTTTTATTTATACATTCACCTTTGTAAGCCGAAGTTATTTCTCTTACTTACATTATGCAAGACCTGTGTCACCTGGGACATGAATAATTTATAAAGATACCTCGCATATTTCTGGTACAATTTTACCATTAGTTCTTTGTAATTCGGTATGTTAATATATTATGTTTGTCGCTCTGGTTTGTGTACTTGGACCACTTGCAGCAAATTAACTGAATCTCGATTCAACTTAAACTAGATTTAACCGTTTACCGCACATTAAGAAAATCTACCAACAAAATAGAAATAGAATCTCTATTGAGTGGGTGCTAACGACTGCATTGTGAAGGTCTATCAAAAGTATTTATTAATCTGGAACAACGGAACCAAAGCGCGATTCAGGAGACAACAGCGCCATCTCTTGACCATTGGTGTAGTAGAACCAAAAACCACATCTTTATTTTTTGTAATAAAGTAACAGTTATAGGTATTCATATTTATAATATTTATCCACATGTTTCTAGTTTGTATATTCGGAATACGTGTTTGAGTTTCATACAAGTGCAAATCACATATGTTCTAATAAATTATATTCAGTAGCGATTTTAATTGAATATTTTGATTATTTATTTATTTTTTCAAATTAAAACTGAACTTTATTGACTGTGTCCTTTTCTAGACTTTTTATTAATTTATTGTAATTAATTATTTGCATGCAATTAAAAACTAATTTTAAACGATGCCAAAGAAGGATAACTTCTCACGCGCCTACATAAGTACACGCACCCATTTTTTTTTTCATCTATTTTAGTTAAACTGCTTTTAGGGGGGTTTTTATATATGCGTAGGCAATATTATAAAAACCACCCAAAAAACGCCGTACACAAAGTATCTTGAAAATTACAACGTCGAAGTAAACAGAAATGCTCACGAAATAAAAACTTCTGGTCAAACTGCATTAAATTTGTATGGGACCAAATAGCAAGTATTTCGCATGGAACAAAAAAAGAATTACGTAAATCGAATTAGAAATCTCGGCGTAATCGGTGTACATACATAAAAAAATAAACCGACCGAATTGAAAACCATCTCCTTGTTGAAGTCGGTAAAAATAGCTGCATGTGAACCTTAGTGCTAATTGATAGTACTAAGTTCAAGCACTTAAACATCTCTTTTTATCCTATTTTAGGAGTCAAGAATGTTTCTTTACTCGTCTGAAAAAACTTAGCGTGGTGCAATGAGTTTCATTTCAGAATATCATGTGCTTCCAGTTTTCATTTATTATTATCAGCCTATTAGTGTCATAGGTCAAACTCTTCACTATTTATGGAATAGGGAGAGGTAGTCCCGTTCTATTCATGTTTTATCTATTTCCACATCATCATCCCATATAAACCGGTCTATTGTTTTTAGGGAGGTTGGATGGTAAAGTTGGACGTCAACATAGAAAATGGTGGTTTCAAGTTGGATCCGAACTTCCTAGTTGACTTCGGTTCAGAGCCAGATGGCCCGGTACTGCCCCACGAGATGAGGTAAATACTGCTTTAAGTTTATTGAAATACGAACGAATATTGTATGTTTCCTATAGCAGAGTATATTTCATGTTTATTATAACAGTTTGATTTGTGGATTTTGAGCTTTTTACTACGCTAATTTAAAATCCGATTTAATTAATTGATTATATTTAATATAAAAAAGAAAATTAATATAAATTCAAAAACTTCAGTTAACGGTCCCCTAAGTTTATGAAAACATCAAAATTTCATAATCCTGAGAGTTTGTAATTTATACGCGTTATAATATTTCAATGTCCCGTTTTTTCGGCAAATGAGTCTCATGTGAAGGTCTGAAAATTTATGTACAGCCAACCACACATCAATTTACCACAAACTGTTAAAATATCCCAATACATTGTAAATCTTATAGTAAGTAACCTAAGATCTCAGTTGGAGAAATTTTACCGAACTGCAGAACTTGATCTGTGGCTGTGTGTACCTGTTCAAGTAAAAATGGGAAAGACCTTTTTGCACAAAGCTCTGAGAGCACCTGTAATTGAAAAAAACCTTCCTTTCATTGTAGGTACCCTGGAGGAGATTGCACATCCGACATTTGGCTCGCCAAAGATTAAAGTTGCAGAAACTGACATTGTGCCAATATTTTTCAGTTTTTACTGTCTAATAGCACAACTTTGTATAAACATATATCGCTTCAAATCTAAGGAAATGTAGCTGCCATGGGCTATCGAAAATATAATAATGTGAAATAAATTTGTACAAAATTAATATTATATATCTGAATATACGTAAATATTATTGTAACATTTATTGTTTTTATTTTCCTTCTTTTGATCCTTTTACACATTAAATTAACGTGTTTGATATTACTAAGGCAAGTATCTGAAGCTGAAATTCAGCATGCTAACTAACATTCGTCATTCCGTAGTGGATTTGTAATTAAAAGTAGTTTAAAATGTGTATGTATATTTCCTTAGTCGTGTGGAATGCAAAAGTTATTGTGATAATGAGTTAAGTAGATTATGATATTATGTTGGGTTCGAATCCCGAAATTTTTAAGTCATCCAAAATTCCATAGCATAAATGGGACTTAAAGCCTGATATCACTTTACTGTAACCTCGATTTATAAAAATTATATCCGTCATTCATAAAAAAAACTTAATTGTGTTTACAGTCAATTATAATGACTTCGTAAGCGTACGTGACATGAAAGTTATGCCTACATACTGCCAAATAATAAACATTTCATGATTGTGGGTTAAAAAACACATACTGTGTACTACATTTAGAATGAATTTTACAAAATGCGAAACGCGTAAATTTCACATACACGTGTTTTTTAAGTTGCATAAACATAAGAACATAAAGAACACAGCGGTAAAATGCTGCCAACACAATATGTTAAAGCGTGGAACTGTGTTTCGTAACCGCCATTTCATTTCTTTTTTTTTTGGCATAAAAAATGTGTTAACTATGACAATTTATTCTTTCATACACTCTCAACGCATTACACTTCTTCATTGCATGTAAAAAAGAGCAGAGGTTGGTTATCTTTAAATTGGCTATGGAAAAAGCTAGTTTGTTCTTACGTCCGATGGAGAGCGCTGCTTAGTTTTCATAGAAACTTTGACGATGCAATACGTTACGGAGCTGTCAAAAGCTCGTGCATGGGCTTCTGATAGCGACATGAACGAATTTAGTACATCTCGCTATTTCCTCTTTTTATACGACATGTTCGAAATGCGTATAATTTTTTTGAAAGATTAAAGGTTATAGTTAACACATTTATTCTTTAAAAAAAAGGAACAGAAATGGCAAAGCAGCCCTCTTGAGTTTAAAAAGTCTTTTGAACGAGACGGTACCTCGACTGCAATGACTTTTTTTACTTTTTTTGGCAGGGCAGCCGTGTTTTTATAGTTGAAATCATACTGCGAATGACCGATCGCTAAAATGTTGTTAGCAGATTGGAACGAACCTTATCGATTCACAATATTTATTTATTTATTTGCAATCCTTATAGTTTTGCCCCAATGCTACAGCAAAGCTTTCGTTAAATGCTATTTCTAAATTACCTATAATAGTAAATACATATAAAACTTGCTTTGCGATATCAGCACTTACAAAGGACACTCAATCACCCAATTACCACACCCTGACCTTTTTGAGGGGGAACAATATTTTATATTTTTATGGATAACGATAAGCCTAAACAAAGAGTGACTGATCAGAAATCTTGAAAGTCTCAGGAATGTCTAAGCTTCATCAGAATGAAAAGTCATATCGAGTAAGTAGTATTTAACCGTCTTTAGATGAATTATATACGCACAGTGGATTTTTCGTCCATCGGAAAAAAACAGTCTGCACCTTATATAAGAATGTCAAAATTTTCACTTTTCTTTAGTATTTCCTGATGTTAGTAATATTTCGAATGCTTCATATAAGGTGGGAGAAGAGTTCATGGTTTGCAACGCACAAATGATAGGTGTGAAAAAGCTTTATACAGGCCGTTAAGGTGTATGTGGCTGGTAAAACTGCTGCACCAGCTATTTTGGCATTTGGACTCCACCGCCACTGAACATTATCGAAATAGGGTCATTGGTTAGACCTTTAAAAAAACTATAGTGGCGGCTGGTGGCGGTTACCAACAGGCAGACAAAATTTTATTTGGCACCTTCTTTGCTTATGTATCTGATCCTCCAGAGTTTAAAGATTAAAATTATGAAATTAGGATACAAGGAAAGTACCAAACCTAGATGCAAGACAACACAAAAGGTGACGCCATGTAACCTGTGTAGACGATCTCGATGGAGCCGGTGGAAGTTAATCAACTTTCGCGAAGTTCGGTTATTGGTAAGTGACCAAAAACTTATTATCTCAAGCTCCTGCATGCTTCGGAAGGCTTTTTAAGCCGTTGGTCCTGGCTGCGTCTGCTAATCAAGCGCACCACAGGGTGGGTCACGGCCTAATCTCACCCAGCAGCAGGGATATTAATAGGTTGATGATAACAAATAAATAAATAAATATTTCCAACACTCACACCAATTAGCCTAGCCCCAAAGTAATCACTGTAAGGCTTGTGTTAAGGGATACTAGGATAACGGATAGAATACATATACTGTACACATATAAGTATATTTTTATTAAGAAATACATATTGAACATCCATGACTGGAGTACGAATGCTCGTATTCATCACACAAACAAATGCCCCCACCAGTATTCGAACCCGGGACCTCTCGAGACGGCGACACCATGAAACCCAGTGTACAAACTCCTCGGCCACGTAGGTCGTCAAATTTTAAATGATGATGATGACGAATCCCCCTTGACTATGGAAATCGTCAACATAGGAGGTAGGTATACCTATTGACATAATCATCAGTTTTAAAACTTTCAAATCATAGATGTTTACTCCTATTATGGAAGACCTAGAAAAATATGGATTGAGATGGGCATCTAGCAAGTATTCCGTTAATGTAGTGAAAACTTAGAAAGAGTTCCGAAACTGTCAAAAGCTTTATGTTATTGTTTTCCAAGAACATCTTAGGTGTTACTGATCGAAGCTAAACATGGCTTTATAAAGAATTGACGATGACAATAAATAATCTATGGAAGAACTTAACACACAATGATTATTAGAAAAACTCTTTGGCGGTAGAACTAAAAAGTTATAATTTTGGTTAGTAAGCGACCGTTAGTTTAAGTGTCGCCGCACACGGGCCACACGCCACAGCCACAAATGCGAGAAGCTAGAAGCGGTTACTAAAGTGGCTAAAGCGCGCGACAGCTGCCAACTAACGTAAGGGGAGTGGGGTGAGGAATCGCGCGAGTGACGTGTGGCGGCGTTTTGTATCGGCGCATTAAGTGGCCGGTGCGGGCCACAAGAAGCGAGCAACGACGATTTGTAGCGTGTGGCGGACACCGGCGTACCGTGTGTGGCGAGTCCTTGTAAAATGTATGAAAATTATAAGAAATATGCCGGTGGCGGCATTTTGTGGTTGTGGTAAGGGTATTATAGATAGAGGTGGCCTGCGGCCGTTACTAGCCTTTTTTGGTTGTTCGTGTTTGACCACTTGCTTACATTGCAAACGAATACAACCTGCCGCCTTCCCAGCTGAAGCAACAGGCTGCGTCTGTCTGTGAGACTCTTTGTGTGTGTGTTTGTATGTTCTGGTCGCGTCGACCGTGTTGCTCTATGAAATCTTCTAAAGCTTTCATTACAGAAAATTTATTTTAAGGTAAAAGTAACTTCAGTAGGCCAGGTACCAACGGTACGTAATGTTAGTTATTTTAGACGATAAGTAACTCTTAGTTTAATTACTCGTTATAGGTATTCAATTAGAGGTAATTTAAAAAATAATCTTCTCGTAAATTGATATGACCTAGCCCAGTTAAGGTGAAAAACAGAAAATTATCTACGACCTTATGACCTGCTGCTGTAGTCATCAACATATGAAAGGAATGTATTTTTTGTTAATGATATCAACTTAACGGTTAATTTATCAATACTAAAAATAATTGCACATATCACTTTCTTTTGTGCCTGTAAATATTTTTTTAATTATTTTTATCTTTACAAAATAATCAGTAGGGTTAAGTGAGTGAGTGTAGCATAAAGAATATCTTTGCCCTTTTCTTGTTGTCGATGGTCTGTTTCAACGTGGTTTAGACAGACAGTATGTAGACAGTTATAATGCCAAAGCAGCTGTCATCAGAAGTGAAATAACCGGGTGTAATACACAGAGATATTCCGACCAGCAGATTCAGATGCTGTGCTGACTTGCTCATAGTGATGAGCAACCGCGAGAATCCTACGAGTGTTTATCCGTGGGTCTGGTGAGTCGGCCCACAACCGTTTCCGGACACTGTCCATGAGTAGTTTGAATAAGCCGTGGTGCCATTACACCAGGAGTTACTTCCCTGTACTTCTGATCATACCCATTCATATTGAAAATGAAAAACAACAATTACAATAAAAATAGAATAACAATAAAGTACAATACAATATGTATTTTATCAATTTCTAAAACTTTATATTTCCAGTCATATAAAAAATCGAAAATTGATTTAATAATAAAAAAATGATATAGGATGATTCGTGTTTTTTTATGAATGGGTAAGCTCTTGATACTCTATCCGGTCCGAGAGCAGAGTTGCGAGTTGACCCAAAAGGAGCATATATACTCTGGCTTTAAAAATAATTGCATTATATGTACTCGGAAATACCTAGACGCAGCCAGGCAAATTTACTCCTTCGCTGTTGCATTATAAAAAGATTGACAAGGAGGTTGGCCGAAATTCAACAAAAAATCATCAAACATTATTATCAGTTATCATGTTCAACTTACTTTGAAGGCATTACATAATATGAAAGGATTTTTGCTTATATTTGACTAAACTTAATTGTTATTGTGGGTGTTCCGGGAGTAATCCCTTATGTTATTGAATCCCGGGTAGTAAAAAATTTTACATTTTATAGGCACTGCTAGAGAGTTTTAAAATACGTCCGGGGCATGGCGGGTTTCCCGCTCGACTTGAAGCGCCAAGGGTGATTACTTCCCCAGATCAGAAGTACATACATCTTACAGAAGAATACAATGACACAACATAAACCTTTGGGTGATGTTGCATTTCTGTTGGTGAGTATGGTACTCTACCAGGTCACCTCGGGGTTTGGGTTACGGAAAGCATCAGCAAAGCACTCATTATGCTATACAGTATTACAAACAGCTATAGGCCCTGGGGGTCGCTTACTAACACGATTGCTTGCCTTAGATTAAAACAAATAACTTACCTAAGTTGTTTGCCCACCTTTTTAAATAAAAACTAATGCTAATTAAAAGATATCTGCATCATATTTGCAACATGTATTTATATATGGTATCTTTATTATATTAATAAAAGTACAATGTTAACTGTTGTTATAAAATCTTCATAACTCCGTATAGAGAGTCCACACAAAATGCTTTGAACTGACAAAATTTATCGAAAGTATCGAGAAAAAGAGGTTTACATAAAGGATCCAACTGCGCTCCAGAGGCCACAGACGAGATAAAACCGGTTATTTATTTTATAGGAAAGCAGTAAAAGAGATGTGTCGTGCCCAAGTTTACATATTATTGTTTTCCGAGAGTTCCAATAGAATTGGCACTTTGTACTTTTTGGTTGAAAAGGAGTACCGATAAAGAATGTTCAGTCTTATTTTAGTTCTTTCAACATTCATTGCAAGATTACTGGTTATATAATATTAAGCTTTGCAGTAAAAACCAAAAATATTATATAGTTGGTGAATGGAATAGGGATGTCGAAAGTGAAAAAAAAATCGTTATATCGATACATCGATATTTTAAAAAATATCAATATCAGCTTCGATATATCGCGAAAAAAACATCGATATATCTATATATCGGACCAATTTTCCCAAAAATATATTTAGGTCAGCCTAGCACAATAATAATAACTACACAAATTATAATTAAAGAAAGAATTATTAAACCTCAAATTGCCGCTACCCTACATGACAGTAAAGTATCTCACGAAAGATGACACGCGGAATAATAATGGAACGAAAATTATCTCCCTAAAACTAGATCTTATCTTCGAATGATGAAAATGATTGCAGGGCCTCTCAGGTGCCATCTTTCGTAAACAAGACTAGACAGTCACACACTTATAGAATATAATGGAATTCAGCACAACCAATTCACCAGCAAAACAGATTTACAAATCATAGACAATACTAAATACAGCACAGATCATAGATATGTTGAATTAATCTGAGATCCAGATACGAATTTAGTTAGATCGTGATATGCCGCTAATAATTAAAAAAA